TTTTGGCTTAACCTATGTGGAACCCAAACATCAAAGCAATTCACATAACCAAGCTGGTGCAAATGATTTTCAGTGCTTGGTTTGGATATTTTGAGTATGTCCGCTATCTCCCGTGTGGTATAACGTTGATTGTTCTCAATTATTGTTTCAATTTGATTGCTATCAACTTCAACGGGTCTACCCAACTGTGGAGCATCGTCCAGCGAGAATCTCCAGCACGAAACTTCGCAAACCACTTTTGACACCTTCGATCCATCATGGCATCTTCTCCATACACTGCACAAATCTTTTTTTTGTGTTTCAGTTGCGTTTTTACCTTTCTTGAAATAATAAAGCATAATATACCAAAATTGTTGCTTTCTTCTTCCATATTCAATATTAAAATGGCTACACCAAAATTCACCAATTTTGATGTCTTTTTTTAAATGCATGCTGATATGACAGCTGTCACATACAAACAAAATTGTTTTGAATGAAGTTAAAGACAACTAAGTGCTACTAGAGCCATCTTATGGAAAAAACCGAACCTTTGGCCCACCCAATAGTATTTTTGAACAGATATTCTCCCTTATCTCCCATTTTTAATTCATCATTGCCTGCCTGTGGAATCTCAGTGGCTTCATCTGCATAGATACTAAAAGAATAAGCATAGTATCAGTTAGCGTGGGTGAGGTTATACTGCAGTAACAAATGATCCCCCAAATCTCAGTGGCTTACAAGAAAGGTTTATTTCTCCCTCACACTGCATGTCCACTGATTATCTCAGCTACAGCTAATGATGCAGTTGCAGAACAGGCAACTCCTGGTGTCAGTGGAATAAATGGCTTCTCCAAGAGCTGCCTTTATTGAGGTATAGAAAGGGCCTTTCAGGCAGCCACTGGACTGAACATTCTTCACCCCAGGTTCAGAAAGAGGCAGGACTCCTCCAAGGCTGCTGGCTCCCTAGTCCTTCTCTGGCGTAGTCATATTAGCACACAGATGTGTCCCTGTGCCTTTATCATAATGCTCTACATTAGCTTCTCAAGAAAGAACCGGAAGCATCAGATAAGATCCCTTTCAGGATCAAGGCTCTCTAGAAGAGAGAGGTAATCAAGGATGTTTATTCAGAAAACAGTAACTCAGCATTCTTTTCTTGGTCATTGTATCTTGGCTTCTTTCTCCAAGCCAAGAATTCTTCTGAAAGTTCATTCTAGTCCTTTATGTCTTTGCCATTCACCACCCTGCTGTGTGCTTCTGGAGGTCTCATCTCTCTTGCAGCTTGATCACCATGTTTCCTTTACCATCACAGGGGTAATCATTAGTGCTACACACTGATATCTGGTTCTCCTCTCTACTGGTCACATAGTAGGATGCATTTCCAGACTTCCTTAAGATTGGTTCTGTGACTAATGCTGGCATGAATTGTGAGTAGAAATGGTGTCTGTCACTTTTGAGCTGAAGAATTTGTTAGTGTGAGGCTTCCAGAGTTTTCTCTTTTCCTTCTGGAAAAAGCCACTGATATTTTGGGGTTATTCTTTTTACTGTTGCATAGCTTAGCCTATCTTGACTGAAACTATCGCATACCTTTTTTCAGGTATTTAAAGTATACATGACAAATTAAAGGCTCTTATAATAATATAGGTCTTCAGACACATAATGGGTATAAAATGCTCCATAACTCTTAAGGTACAAATGTAGTCCCACGACTCTTGACTCTCTAAATCAAATTTAAATTGGCTCAAGCACCCAGATGCTTTTTAGGTAGAAAGTTTAGAATCACTCTATTGAGTTATTCCCACTTACCCTACATTGTTTTTTCTCAATGTAGTTTATACACCCTCTGCGTCGCAATCGCCTGGGGGTATTTGTTAAAAACAGACTCCCACAGTATTCCTCAAATCAGAATCTCTGGCAGGACTCAACGTGCCCCCAAGTCATTCTTACGCTCACTTCACACATGATCTTTCTTAGTCTGAAATCACCTTGCTCTACCTTGTGATTCCCACATGATTTCTAGACCAGCATTATCCAACAGAACTTTCTGCATTGATAGAAAGGTACTCTCCATGTATACTCCAATACACTAGCCACATGTGGATACTGAGCTCTTGAAGTGTGACTAGTATGACTGAGGAACTGAATTTTTAATTTATTTGAATAGCCACACATGGCTAGAGGCTCCCATGTTAGACAGCACAGTTCTAGACTGTTAGTCCTTGAGAGCAAGAACTGTATCTTCAATCTCTGTATCCCCTTTGTGCCTGACACAGAGTAGCCCAGTAAATAAAAACTGAAATAGGAAATAGGCCTGCACTACTTCCATTTTTGAGGTTCCTGGTATATTAAGAAAAGAAGAAATGCCAAAACAGGATTACAAAAAGTGTTTTCTGGACAAACATTTTAAATCTTTACACTTACAAAGCAGCTTTATTGTCCTCAAGATACAGGATTAAATATTAAATCATAGACATATAGTGTCTAAGAGCAATACCTAATAGCCATGGGGGTACTCAGTTATCTTTCTACCTTTGATTTAGCAAATATAAAAGGTGCATTAAGACAATGAATCTTGCTTAAGATCTTTCCATGTAACTTCAGTTAAAGTGTATATGTGCAAATATCACCAGTGTATACAAATCAGATCACTAATACATGAGGTATAAAAGGGTTTAAAACAAAATAATCATAGATTAGATATAGGAAAGCTAATTCTTCATATTGTGGCCTACTGGAAGAATATACTAAGAGAGGCTGTGAGAATAGTGTTTGGAGAATTTGGGACGTGACGTTTCGCACTTATGCTTGCCAGCCTTTACTTTACCTATCTACTTTCCTCAGAAGAACAAAAGCAAAGTTAAAAGTGACATTCTTTAGATTTGCAATAATATTAAAACTTCTTTGAAAATAATTCATTGTTCTGTTGGTTTAGTTGATGTAAAACCCTAGAGAACTTGTAAACAAAACATTCTTATCAGCATGGAAGGATCAATAAGTTTTAACTCTTGCCTGAAGTAAGGGTAAGGGACTATAAGGTAGTCATCATTAGCATAATTATCCCTTATTTCCCTAGCTTTTCCATGATCAACCTGAGGTGGCTAGTGCAACAATACACATAATGTAGAAAATTATAAATAAATCTGAGCAAGAGAAAACCCAAATTTAGAAGGTCAGCAACAAGGACCTACTTACTGTATAGCACAGGGAACTCTGCCCAATATTATGTAACAACCTAAATGGGAAAAGAATTTGAAAAAGAATAGATACGTGTATATATATAACTGAATCACTTTGCTGTACACCTGAAACTGCAAAAATATTGTTAATCAACTGTACTCCAATATAAAATAAAAAGTTTAAAAAGTACAATAGTGAAAAAATAATAAATACATAGATAGATAGATAGATGATAGATAGATAGATAGATAGATAGATCAGGACCAGGGAATAAGAACGCAGATTCACAGGCCACAGTTCCTATGTAAGCACTAAAGCTGAGCTAAAACTTGACTTGGAGCTTCACGACAATGAAAGTGAAAAGGGAAACACATAAACTGGTTACATTATTTGTAAGGAAGACACATCACTTACTCAAAGGTAGTCAAGCCATTTCCTGACACTTGGCTCTGAAAGAAAATTCTCTCATGGGATTTTCCATAAGGAACATAAAATGACCAAGTGCACAATAGCTCTACAGCAAATGCACTAGTGGGCTCTGTGGAATTGTCTCTTCTAGAATCCCTTAATGTATGCAGAAGCCACAATATTCAAAAGACAAGTCAGTAAAACACTCCTGGTAGAGGGTGAGAAATGTTTCTGTGTGTATGAGCTCAGGACAACGTGGTCAAGGATGCAGTTTTCTGATGGACCAGCTAATACCCTGGCTGACTAAAAGCAGATACATATTGTTCAGAACTCAGTAATCTCATCAGCAGATGGTGGGTGGTTGACAGCCTTTTGTGAAGAGTGAGTCATCCCGTTGAGATTCTCACCTAAATAGGAACATTTCTCTCTTCATGGGGGTGGACAGAGGGAGGCTGCAGGCAGTGCAGGTTTCTCCTTAAGAAAACCAGTTCTTCAAAATAAGAACGAAGTATTCAAGTTTCTAAAGTTCTATTCAATAGAGCAGAGGGTCTGCAAACTCACAGACAAGTCATGTTTTTTTTTAAACAAAGTTCACATTAGTTACCAATGTTAAGAGATGAATAGATTTCAAATCTGGCAAGCCCAGATGCTCGCACACCACTTGGCAACAATCTGCTGGCTGGGTGTGGGCCACTTGCCCACCTTTTAGGCAACTGAATGTCCTGTAGGAGGATGAAGATTTGGATGGAAAAATTTTCAAAGAAGAAATTATCAGTTGCTGACTCTCGCTAAGAAAAACCTGAATAAAGCTCCCATGAAATGTATGGCTTTTAGCAAAGTGACTGCTCGGTAAATCTACCTGGAAGAATTCCTTGCAAAACATACCCTTAAGTAAAGAAATGAATCCGATACTGAGTTACTGGATCTAAACCAGTTAAATTTCAGGACATGTACCAAAATAATTATTTTAGTTTTAGCACATGGGATCTTCACCCACTTCTGACAAATGCTAAACCACAAAATCAACCGTACATTAAAGTTAATTATAATAAAATATCATCAGCATTAAGGAAGATTGACTTTCTTATCTCCAAAGCAAGACAGCATATGTTCAAATAATACAAAAGTGGTTTCAAATTATTTAGTTTAAAAATAAGGAGGGCCACAACTTGCCTGTTTTATGCTACTTGAAATACGTTCTGATCTGTCTGAACACCAATTCTATTGATCTGGACTTTCAAGGTCACAGAAGTCCTGGTTTTATATGATTCTATATTGAACTCATGGAGCTCAACCTGAAACTAGTCCTTGTCCACAGACTCAAACCCTGAGAAGTCATGCAAAGCTGCAACCTTTCTTTTAAAAGCGAAGTTTACTTTTTCTAATTATAAAATAAATGTACAATATCAATAATTTAGAAAATAAAGAAGAATTTAGACTGTTTTCCCCCAGGTTTTTATTTTGAAAAATTTCAAACCAACAGAATACAGATATGCAGGCCAAGGGTCCTTCCAGTTACTAAGGCTGAGCCACAAATTTCTCAGAGCTTCTTGGCAGTCAGAGTGAAAGGAGAAAACAGCCAGTTATGTAATTCACATCACCTATAAGGAGAAAACATCAGTTACTTAAGAGTAGCCAAGTGTTTCATGGCATTTGGCTGAGAGAGAAAAATTCTCTTATTAAAAAAATTTCTTTTAATTTTTAATTTATTTTTTAATTGGGGTACAGTTGCTTTACAATGTTGTGTTAGTTTCTGCTGTACAATGAAGTGTACAGCTATATGTATACAGCTATATGTATACATATATCCCCTCCCTCTTGGACCTCCCTCCCACCCCCCCCATCCCACTCATCTAGGTCACCACAGAGCACTGAGCTGATCTCCCTGTGCTATACAGCAGTTTTACACTAGCTATTTTACACATGGTAGTGTATATATGTCAGTCCTAATCTCCCAATTCATCCCACCCCCCTTCCCCCATGAGAGAAAAATTCTCTTGTGTTCACTTCATAAAGAATACAAAGTGATATCATACACAATAACTGCACTGGTGAGTTCTGTAAACTATTTCATCTAGAATCTCTCAATGTTAGCAGAGCATGCGTTGTATGAAGGAAGGCAGCAGCCTGGGGGTTAAGAGTATGGATTCTAGAACCTAACTACTTGGGTTTGAATCCGGGTTCCATGACTATTAACTGTGTGACCTTGAGTAAATTACTTAACTTTTCTAGGCCTTAGTTTCCTGAATTATAAAGTACTGTGATTAATGATATTACCTCTCTCAAAGGGGTATGAAGCTTAAATGAGTTAATGCCCAGAACATACTTAAAACAGTACCTGGCACATAGTAAGCATCATCATTATTTCAGTAAACGCTAAAATAAAGGTGTACACATGATGTAATAGTACAGAGGATGGGCACTTAGACCAAATAAGGGCTGGAGGGAAGGTTTCCTAAAGAGAGGATGCCTGGTTTACTACTTAACTGCTGTTAGCGTGAACTTGGCCCAATTACTTAAACTTTGTATCCCCACCTGCTAAAACAGAGATATAATATCGGATACTGATACAATAAACTGATGTTTGTGAAATTAAATGAGATAATATAGGAGGATTAGATGAGCAAATGGAAGAGAGCATGGCATGTAAAACAAATGTTTCCACTTGGATCTGGTGGAAAAGTAAATAAACTACCCTTGCATTCAAATTTTACATGTGTCCATTTTTCCCATTAAAGGGTGTACTTAAGTTCACAAGTAGCTGTACAAAAATATTAATTCATATCACAACAAAGCTACCTAGAAGTAATGTTAAACGATCAGTGGTGGATTAGCACAACTCTCCTGTTTTTTTTATCACCATGGAAATGCCTTATGGTTACGTCATTTTTGAGGCACATTGTGTCCACCTGAGAGAGTAGGTAAATATAACACCTTGATTTCCATTTGGCAAAAATGACTACTCCCTCATCTGCATTACTTTATATATCCCTCATGTCACTTCATATAGAATTCTATTATACTATGTAGAATACTGTGTTATAGTCACGGTTCATTCGATTTATACCTTGCTTTGTTTAAAAAAGAGCTATGGCAATTACTTACATACTTATATGTTTATCTCCCTTCCAAAACTGTGAGTTTCTCAAGTAACTGTATCATATCCACATCCATAGTATCTGGACATACACTGGAACATAATATACTGATTCTCACTGTTTGGTGAAATGAGTAGGATTTGAAGTGTGCTGTTATAAGCAAATGAGCCTAATATAAAGTTAAGGGGGAGAGAGACCTTCAGGATGGCGGAGGAGTAAGACATGGAGATTACCTTCCTCTCCACAAATATATCAGAAATACATCTACATTTGGAACAACTCCTACAGAACACCTACTGAATGCCGGCAGAAGACCTCAGACTTCCCAAAAGGCAAGAAACTCCCGACATACCTGGGTAGGGCAAAAGAAAAAAGAAAAAACAGAGACAAAAGAATAGGGACGGGACCTGCACCAGTGGGAGGGAGCTGTGAACGAGGAAAAGTTTCCACACACTAGGAAGCCCCTTCACTGGCGGAGACAGGGTGTGGCAGCGGGGAAGCTTCGGAGCCACGGAGGAGAGCACAGCAACAGGGGTGCAGAGGGCAAAGTGGAGAGATTCCCGCACAGAGGATCTGTGCCAACCAGCACTCACCAGCCTGAGAGGCTTGTCTGCTCACCCGCCAGGGCGAGTGGGGGCTGGGAGCTGAGGCTCGGCTTCGGAGGTCAGACCCCAGGGAGAAGACTGGGGTTGGCTGCATGAACACAGCCTGAAGGGGTCTAGTGCACCACAGCTAGCCGGGAGGGTGTCCGGGAAAAAGTCTGGACCTGCCTAAGAGTCAAGAGACCATTGTTTTGGGATGCACGAGGAGAGGGGATTCAGAGCGCCACCTACACGAGCTCCAGAGACAGGCGCGAGTCGTGGCTATCAGCGTGGACACCACAGACAGGCATGAAATGCTAAGGCTGCTGCTGCAGCCACCAAGAAGCCTGTGTGCAAGCACAGGTCACTATCCACACCTCCCCTCCCGGGAGCCTGTGTCGCCTGTGACTGCCAGGGTCCCGTGATCCAGGGACAACCTCCCCGGGAGAACATATGGCGTGCCTCAGGCTGCTGCAACGTCACGCCGGCCTCTGCCGTGGCAGGCTCACTCCGCATTCCATACCCCTCCCTCGCCCCGGCCTGAGTGAGCCAGAGCCCCCTTATCAGCTGCTACTTTAACCCCGTCCTGTCTGAGCGAAGAACAGACGCCCTCAGGCGACCTACACGCAGAGGCGGGGCCAAATCCAAAGCTGAACCCTGGGAGCTGTGCGAACAAAGAAGAGAAAGGGAAATCTCTCCCAGCAGCCTCAGGAGCAGCGGATTAAATCTCCACAATGAACGTGATGTACCCTGCATCTCTGGAATATCTGAACAGACAACGAATCATCCCAAAACTGAGGCAGTGGACTTTGGGAGCAACTGTAGACGTGGGGTTTGCTTTCTGCATCTAATTTGTTTCTGGTTTTATGTTTGTCTTAGTTTAGTAATTAGAGTTTATTATCATAGGTAGATTTGTTTATTGATTTGGTTGCTCTCTTCCTTTTTATATATATATATATATTTTTTTCCTTTTTCTCTTTTTGTGAGTATGTGTATGCTTCTTTGTGTGATTTAGTCTATATAGCTTTGATTTTACCATTTGTCCTAGGGTTCTGTCTGTCCATTTTTTATTGTTTGTTTTTGTATAGTTTTTAGCACTTGTTATCACTGGTGGATTTGTTTTTTGGTTTGGTTGCTCTTTTCTCCATTTTTTTATTACTTTTTAATTTCTTTTAATTTTTAATATTTTTTGTTTTCATTTTAATAACTTTATTTTATTATTTTCTTTCTTTCTTTATCTTTTTCTCCCTTTTCTTCTGAGCCATGTGGCTGACAGGGTCTTCATGCTATGGCTGGGTGTCAGGCCTGTGCCTCTGAAGTGGGAGAGCCAACTTCTGGACACTGGTCCACCAGAGACCTCCTGGCTCCATGTAATATCAAACAGTGAAAGCTCTCCAATAGATCTCCATCTCAACACTAAGACCCAGCTCCACTCAATGACCAGCAAGATACAGTGCTGGACACCCTATGCCAAACAACTATCAAGACAGGAACACAACCCCACCCATTAGCAGAGAGAGGCTGTCTAAAATCATAATAAGGTCCCAGACACCCCAAAACACACCACCGGATGTGGTCCTGGCCACCAGAAAGACAAGATCCAGCCTCATCCACCAGAACACAGGCACCAGTCTGCTCCACCAGGAAGGCTATACAACCCACTAAACCAACCTTAGCCACTGGAGGCAGACACCAAAAACAATGGGAACTACGAACCTGCAGCCTGCAAAAAGGAGACCCCAAACACAGTAAGTTAAGCAAAATGAGAAGACAGAGAAACACACAGCAGATGAAGGAGCAAGGTAAAAACCCACCAGACCAAACAAATGAAGAGGCAATAGGCAGTCTACCTGAAAAAGAAGTCAGTGTAATGATAGTAAAGATGATCCAAAATCTTGGAAGTAGAATGGAGAAAATACAAGATATGTTTAACAAGGACCTAGAAGAACTAAAGAACAAATAAACAATGATGAACAACACAATAAATGAAATTAAAAATTCTCTAGAAGGAATCAGTAGCAGAATAACTGGGGCAGAAGAACAGATAAATGACCTGGAAGATAAAATAGTGGAAATAATTACCACAGAGCAGAATAAAGAAAAAAGAACGAAAAGAATTGAGGACAGTCTCAGAGACCTCTGGGACAACATTAAACACACCAACATTCGAATTATAGGGGTCCCGAAGAAGAAGAGAAAAAGAAAGGGACTGAGAAAATATTTGAAGAGATTATAGTTGAAAACTTCCCTAATATGGGAAAGGAAATAGTCAATCAAGTCCAGGAAGTGCAGAGAGTCCCATACAGGATAATTCCAAGGAAAACATGCCAAGACACAAATTAGTCAAACTATCAAAAATTAAATACAAAGAAAAAAAATTAAAAGGAGCAAGGGAAGAACAACAAATAACACACAAGGGAATGCCCATAAGGTTAACAGCTGATCTTTCAACAGAAACTCTGCAAGCTAGAAGGGACTGGCAGGACATATTTAAAGTGATCAAAGGGAAAAACCTACAACCAAGATTACTCTACCCAGCAAGGATGTCATTCAGATTTGACGGAGAAATTAAAACCTTTACAGACAAGCAAAAGCTGAGAAAATTCAGCACCACCAAACCACCTTTACAACAAATGCTAAAGGAACTTCTCTAGGGAGGAAACACAAGAGAAGGAAAAGACCTACAATAACAAACCCAAAACATTTAAGAAAATGGTAATAGGAACATACATATCGATAATTACCTTAAATGTAAATGGTTTAAATGCTCCCAACAGTAGACACAGACAGGCTGAATGGATACAAAAACAAGACCTGTATATATGCTGTCTACAAGAGACCCACCTCAGACTTAGGGACACATAGAGACTGAAAGTGAGGGAGTGGAAAAAGATATTCCATGCAAATGGGAATCAAAAGAAA